CTGCCTTCATGATCCCGAAGATCTCTGCCAAATCATCTGCATGATCGGATGCCCGGGTGCTCTTGACGATCATGTCGTCAACATACGCCTCCATGTTCCTTCCGAGCACCTTCCGGAATACCTTGGCCACCATCCTCGTGTACGTCGCCCCAAAGTTCTTCAGCCCGAAGGCCATGACAAGATAACAAAAAATCCCCTCTGGGGTGACGAATGAGGTCTTCTCCGCATCTTCTTCATGCATGAAAATCTGATGGTATCCTCGAAAAGCGTCCATGAAGCTAAGCAGTTCACATCCGGCCGTCCCATCGACTAGTTGGTCGATGTTAGGCAATGGGAATGGATCCATCGGACATGCCTTGTTGAGATCGGTGTAATCAACACACATCCTCCAGGTTGGCGGCTTCGGGGCCAGGACCACGTTTGCCAGCCAGACCGGGTACAAGACCTCCCGGATATGCTTGATACTCAGGAGCATATTGACCTCCTTCTTCACGAATTCCCTCCTCTCGGTTGAGAGGTGTCTTCTTTTCTGCTGGATGGGCTTCGCCGTTGGATTGACCGCCAGCCGATGGACAGCGATGCTTCGGCCAAGGCCAGGCATGTCCTCCGGTCCCCACGCGAAGACAACGCTAAAAAGGACAAGTACCTGGATAATCTTCTCCCTCAAGCCGACCGGGAGCCCGGTCCCGATCTTGACCTTCCGCTCCGGCCTCTCGGGGTCAATCTGGATCTCCTCCACTTCTAAGGTGGGTTCAGCGCGGAGTTGACCCTCCTCATACTTCATGGCTTTGCTGTTGATAGTGTGGACCCTCAAGTCTTTTTGACCGATTTGTTTGCAAGCTTTCAGATAGCAGCTCCTCGCCATTCGCTGATCTCCCCTGGCGACTCCGACGCCATTCGGAGTGGGAAACTTCATGCATAGGTGCTCCTGGGATATCACACATCCGAGGTCTTCCAGGGCCGGCCTTCCCATGATGATCTTATGCGCACAAGTTAGGCGTACGACGATAAACTCGACGTCTAACTTGGATACGCAGGGCTCGGAGCCCACCATCACGGGGAGGACTATGCTGCCCTCCGACTCAATGGAGTCCCCGGTGAAGCCCGAGAGTGGGGTTCTCACCGGGATCAAGTCTTTTCGGTCCAGCCCAAGACCTTGGAAGGTGTCATAGTACATGATGTTAACGGAGCTCCCATTGTCCACCAGGACTCGGTGGACGATCGTGTTGTTGATTTCGACCTTGATGACCAAGGCATCCCTGTGCGGCGGAGGCATCGGTGGCAAATCTGCGTCGGTGAAGAAGATGGGGTCCCTCTTCACCCTCTTGTCGGCGGGAGCCCTGGTTATCTCCCCGACGTATAGGGCTCGGGCCCACTGCTTCCACTCTCCAGAGGTGTCGCCTCCCTGGGGTCCCCCGAATTAGAACGAACATCGATGGTACTTCCGGGGGCCGTTCCCTAGATTGGCATCGTCTTCCTCGGAGAAGGCGCCGAGCTCCCGCTTCTTGGCAGGGGGTGTCTCCTTTGACGTGGTAGCTTGGTCGGACCGCTGCCACCTCAGGCTCCTCTTCTGCGGGATGCCTCCTTGTTTGCCAACGAATTGGCCCAGGTACCCTTTCTGGATGAGTTCTTCAATTTGCCGTCGGAGAATGACGCAATCATCTGTATCATGCCCTGCTCTCCGATGGAATCGACAATATTGGTCGTGGTTGCGCTTGGCAGTCACCACATCACACTCCTCCGGAAAGTCGACTAAACCTTGCTCCTCCGCGTAGTCGAGGATGGCCCCGACCGGCTGAGCAAGTGGAGTCAATTGCTTGACGGGTTGTAGCGGTCCGCTCGGGACGTCCGCCTTGCCCTTGCCTCTACTTTTGTTACCTCTGTACTTGTTGTTTTTGTTGCTAGCTTTGTCGTCAACTTTCTCAGCACCCGAACCGGCTTCCTTCTTCTTTTCTTCTTTTGCACCTTCTTCCTCATCTCTTTTCCTCTGCAAGGCGTCTTCCGCCTCGGCTTGCCGGTCGGCACGGCCGAGCGCCTCCTCGTACGAGGTGGGGGGACTTCTGACGAAATCTTTGTAAAGCTCGCCCGATCGGATAGAGTTTGTGAGCATGGCCACCCCGGTCCTGTCATCAAGGCCCTGAACCTTGACTGACTCGACCCTCCACCTCGCTAGGAAGGTCGACAATGATTCCTTCTTCCCCTGTTTTAGGCCGAACAGGTGGCTGAAGTTTTTCTTGACGTCTCGGGAGCTCGCGAACCTCAAGAGAAAGCGCTGAGCCAACTCACGGAAATTTGTGATACTCCCGTCGGGTAGAGAGTCATACCATTCACGAGCCGGGCCATCCAAAGTGGCGGAGAAACCGCGGCATCGGATGGCGTCCTCGTACCCCATCATGACCATGTAGGAAAGGTACCGAGATACATGATGTTGGGGGTCAGAAGCGCCCTTGTATGCTTCAATGGCGCAGGGCTTGTAGCCCCTCGGCAACGGCGCATCCATGACCGCCCGGGTGAAGGGTTCGGGTATCCGGAGGTCGGCCGTGTAAGGCTCCCCCCCGACGACCCTCCTTCTCAACTCGTCAAGGCGCTGTCGTAGATCTTCCACCTCGGCCGGCGGTGGGTTCCCCCGGACAGCTCCAGCGCGGGGCTGGGCATGTCCGGTGGCACCTCCAAGTCGTCCGTGCACGTGAGGTCGGGGCCCCACGTTTTGCCTCTCCGTGGAGCCAGTCCGACTGCTCGCCCGGTGAGAGTGGCGAGAGGGCTCGCCTCCTTCCATCTGCGTTGGGCGCCCCTGCTGGGCGCCCCTCCCCGTCTGCCGATGGGGTCGGCTAGGCTGCTGAGAGACTTCTTCCCCCCACCGATGGGAGACTTCTTCCCCCTGTTTTGGTTGGATCCAGAGCGTCGCTCATCACGCCGCCTGGAGGACACCTCCACATCCGCTGGCGTCTGTTGACGGGCAGGCTCATCCACGTTTCCGCCAGACACCATCTGTTGGAAATTTTGAGCCAAGGTCCCCAGAACCCGAGTTGCCTCCTGTAGGGGCTTCCACCCCGGCATTGAGTCGAGTCGGGTCCATGCACGGAGCATGACGTCGGCCTCCCCCCCGCCGGCTGCGGACCGAGCGCTCACCTTAGGTGTGGTTGAGCGTCGCCCTTAGGTCACCGTGGCCTGATAATTGGTTCCGAAGGTCGCCTTGGCGCGCCGCCCCTCCTGCCCTGTGCATGGTTGTCGAGGGCACGCTGGTGGCCAGACCGGGCGGACTCCTCGGTGTGGACTGAGACATGGTCACGTCGAGACGAGATTCCAGCCATCTTCCTGTGTGATTCCTACTCAAGTTATGTGAGAGACAATAGAGGCTCTCAATGAAAGCACCAATGTTGGTCCAAAATAGGACGCTCGTAGGCTTTTAGGAAAGCTACGTACGACACTCAAGCAGGAATTAGGAAAGTACGAATATGGAAAGTTAGCCAGAAATAGCATATCTGTATTTGAAATTCGAATTGCCTTTTATAGGCGATTACAAATGGTAACTGCCGAACATAATAATGACTAAATTAATTACAACATTAATACAAAATTAAACACACAATTAAGTCGCGCATTAATTGTTGGTCGTTACTCTTCTTGGCTGGCAGGTCAGCCTGGCTGGCAGGCTGGACGCTTGAGCTCCCTCCTGCTGGACTGGATGGTGGGCTTCCCGCTAGGCTGGAGGAAGGCTTCTGACCGGGCTGGAGGCAGGCTCCCGGGTAGGCTGGAAGGCAGGCTCCCGGGTAGGCTGGACCGCAGGCTTCCAGTTGGGCTGGACCGCAGGCTCCCAGCTGGGCTGGTGGTCGGCAGGCTCCTGGCTAGGCTGGAAGGTAGGCTCCCCACTGGGCTGGAAGGCAGGCTCCCGGGTAGGCTGGACCGCAGGCTCCCAGTTGGGCTGGACCGCAGGCTCCCAGCTGGGCTGGTGGTCGGCAGGCTCCTGGCTAGGCTGGAAGGCGGGCTCCCCACTGGGCTGGAAGGCAGGCTCCCCACTGGGCTGGTCGACAGGCTCTCTTGGGCTTCCGCTCCTTGATTGCCCTGGTTGGTTGGGCTGACTCGAGCTCTGGGTTGCTGGGCTTGGGCCCGCTGGTCCAGGTTCGGGGCCTGGGCCGATTAGGCTCTGGGCCTAGTCCCATAACCCCATCAAAGACAATTATATGAAAAATATTTAAAATGTTATGAGTATCTCAACTAAACATAATTGTTGTGAACCTGGTTTTAAAGAATTCATAGAGAAGCTTCTTACCTAATCTCACATCCTCTAAATTACTTTATTATGTATGCACCTCAGAATGTTTTTTTTCATATTCCTCATTTAACTTGGTACAAAATATGGAGTACATACTTTTAACAGTGAGATCTTACATTTTACTTAATATTTCGTCACATTGAAAATGTAAAATGTAAACAAAATGATTTTTTATATACATTTTACTCATTATTTTGTCTTGAAAATGATTTTTTATTGTTATGAACGTCTAGATTACTTTATTGAGCATTCAAAATAATATTTTTCTAATATTTCTCATTCAACTTGGTAGATTACAATAAATTTTAATAGTGAGATCTTACAATTTACTCATCATTTCACCACATTGAAAATGTAAAAAATTGGTGTTTTTATATTTTACTCATTATTTCGTCACATTGAAAACGTCATTAATAAGGACATTTTTAATTAAATTAAAATTTTCGGGTTTGATTTGGTCTGAAGTAATATGATTTGGTAGATGTATGTTTTACATTTTATGTGTCCTGTTATTATTAAAGTTTGATCTGATCTGATCTAGTCTCAGAATGAAATCAATCTAATAAAAAACATCCTTAAGAGTAAATAAAAAAAGGAATTTGTAAACATACAAAGATTTCCTAATTTGGATTATGAATCTATTTCAAAAGTGATAGCATATTTAAATTGTAGTTGTAAATATAAAAAATGAAACAACCAAATATATTTATTTTTTGGCTAGGCTAAACGTATTTACTCGTGAACACACACACATGTAATAAATAAATGTAAGCTACTTGATTAGAAGTATTCTCTTTAAATGATTATATCTGGATCTTTTTATTTAAATATTACTATTTATATACGGATTACCAAAAAAGTGAGTAGAGTTTCAAAAGTCCAAAAAAATGACTAAACATCCGTTACACACCAACGAAACAATAGAAAAACAAGGTATGACTAAAAAAGATGTTAATGAGTTTTAATGCTAAAAACAAGAAAGAGTTTCTCTAGATGTCCACAACAAACGCCACTGTCACCATCGACGCCACCAGCTGTCTTGTTGCACAACTGCCCAGTGACTTGCTCCGGCCCTAGTGCCCACCGCTCAGTGACTCGCTCCAGCCATAATGACCACCGCTCAGTGACTCGCTCCGGCCATAGTGACCACCTTGCTCCGTCTAGTGATTTGCTCCTGTCATTGTGACCAGGTGACCATCTTTCAGTGACTCGCTCTGGCCATAGAGAGCACCTTGCTCCGGCCAGTGACTTGCTCCGGCACATCCAGTAACCACCTCGATCAGTATAGTACCCCCTCCCCCCATCCGTTCAGTGATCACCACCGCACCGCCAGTCACTGTTGTCGTCGTCCTGCACATGCCGCTACCCAGCCCCACTTAGAACCCTTCCCATACCCCACCAGTCTTCCCCAGCCCCACACTAGCCCCAGTCCCGATGCAGCCACCTCCCCAGCCCCAACCCTTTCCCCAGCCTCAGCACCAGTTCCTATTGAGCCCCACCTGTGACGATGTCGCTGCCCTGAACCCCGTCGCTAATGCACAAGCCCAACCACGCACCCTCAATAACTTCCTCTTCACTTCAACCGCTTCAATCCCTTCATCTGCACTTCCACCACCCCTTCCAGTATTCCCCTGAACCCGTAGCACCCCTTTCCTCACCAGGCAAACCCTAATTTTTGCACCGCCATAGTCCCGATCCAAAAACCAAGCAATCGACACTCGTCGACGATAATCTCCATCTGGTATCTCCAATTCAATCTGTTATTAAGGTTTTGTCGATGACGGCGAAGGCTGTTCGACTCTCATCCCCTCCCCATCGCACGGACAGAAAAGAGGAGAAATAGAAATTGGTGGATGACGACGGCGTGGGGGTAGGCGGGGGACGGCTATGGTGGTCGAAGATGGAGACGAAGTCGGCTCAGGGCAGCGTAGACAAGGGCGGCGGATCCAGGTTGGCGGCGTCGAGCGTGAAGGAGAGCATCAGCAAATATAAGTCGTCTCTACTCTCTACTAAGCGACGAATGGGTTGGGATTTCATTTAAAATGATAATCACTTTGTTGGAAGATAAGTTAGGAGTCATATTATTTTTATCATCAAAACGGCTTTCCATTAAAATAGAGCAAACACACAACACAAAATTCAGACAGATATTACAGATACGATCGTAAGCCCTATGAATAGATTTAGAGTCAGCCACACATACAAAGCAACATGACTCGCTAGACACAAAACAGGCAAGAAGAAGCCTAAAACGACCGAAAATGAAACATTGTCTATCAAGAGTTCATCAAAAATCAAACTACTCCGACCACACCCGGTCGAACTGAAATGAAAACAAGTATTGCGAAGGGAAAAACAATACGAAAATAAAAACTTTCCCCAAATTACTTCCTCGCAAGGAGGTGGTTCCGGAGGAGGGCGAGCTGCCGTAGTATGATAGAAAAGAATTTCAACCTCCAGAAAATTCATTTGAGAATCTACCATGCCAAACACCGGAATGGTCACCTTCCCATTGCTCGTTAGTTCTTCTTCTTCCGCATCAATTGTCATCTTTTTGTATTGATCACCAATATTCTCCATAAATCTCTATGCCTTACCAAGCCGACTAAAAGCTCCCTGAACCGCTGTTGCACAGACCAATCCGCCCGTTTCGCTGCTTCGTTAAACCCGCTGAATGCCTCCCGAAGCGCCGCTGCTCAAATCTTCCTCAACGGATCTCACCCCGCAATGATCTTCGTAACATCCTGACCGACCACCTTCATCCACCCTCCAGACTGATCAATAATAACAAATTGGCCGGTCGAAACCGAAGCCCGCTTCTCGGCTAAGCCGATAGCGGACACTCTGAGGCTAAAGATTGCCTTGCGGCAACCCTAGAAGAAAAGTGCAGCGGCTGTTAAGAGCCCTAGGCCTTACGACTTTCGTATGTGGTAAGCATTCAATGTAATGAGCCATATTATTGGAAACTAAAAGACTATAGGTAATATAGAGGTCATTATTTCTTCTATATTTGACTGTCTAATGGTGTTAATTTCGTTTTTAATTTCAACAATCGAGTGGTTATAATTTTCATCACTATGTTAATAATTAAGAAAGAATTGTATGAAGATGCAAAAAAATACGAAGCATTAACAAAATTGTAAATCTAGTGCTTAGAATTTCAACATTGAGTTTAGAAGAATAGTACTCGGTATATAACATTTTAGGAAATGGTGTTGGAAAAATGTGTTAAAAATTGCATTAAATGGTCATTTTGGGGCAATTATTTGAGTGGGGTCCACTTCCGATTTGGGTCGGGTCAAAGTGGTTTCGGATTGTCCTTGTTAAGGGCTACAATTCGATATATGGTACGCTCAAAACGGATAACGGGTGAATGAGAAATTGATTCTCGAAGTTCGCTCGTTGTAATGGAAAAACTGGGAAAATGATGAGTTTCTAGTGTGTTTTATCCCACACCGAAAAACTCAAGGGATTTTCACCCCCTTTTAAAGGGAAGCCTCTTTTAAGGAGTTAAGATTCCTAAAGGGAAAGACTCTCTCTTACGCGCAGGGGGGGGGGGGTGCCGATCAAATCCCGAAACGGAGAAGAAAAACCGCGACTCGTGTGCGCGGGCGACCTGCGGACACGAATGCCGTCCAAAAATCTATTTCTCAAGGGAGTTCTGTTGGCTTCGGACAGAACCCCTCCAAGGGAGTTCTGTTGGCTTCGGACAGAACCCCTCCAAGGGGAGTTCTGTTGGCTTCGGACAGAACCCCTCCAAGGGGAGTTCTGTTGGCTCCGGACAGAAGGCCTCCGACAGAAACCCTCCAAGGGAGTTCTGTTGGCTCCGGACAGAAGGCCTCCGACAGAAACCCTCCCAGGGAGTTCTGTTGGCTTCGGACAGAACCCCTCCAAGGGGAGTTCTGTTGGGGTCTTCTGCCGCGCACTTCTTCCGTTACAACAATTAATGCCCAACGTTCTTATCTTTTAATGCTGCGTTAAATGGACAGTTTATGGACGATTCAATACCCAATGGACTGGTCATTGATGTCCAACGTTCAGGTCCATTAACACCCCATTTAACACACAACAAATCCTCCTGTAAATAGCTGGCAGGTGCTTTGCAACAGACACACGGTTGGAGAACGCACAACACTTTCCTCACGTTTTCTTGAGCTGAAAACTCTTCCAGCTACTCCCAAAAATCCTTCTGTGTTAATACTTGGTTCTCGTTCGCTGGAACTCTTGTTTGTGTGCTCAAACATTAGTTCGTAGTCATCGTATCCTGGGAAACGATTGTTGCAACGCTCCTAGCACCGTGGGAGGCAACAAATACGTTTTAAGGAAATCGTGCGTAGCACGAGCTTTGGCTAATTCTGCTTCATCTCCTTTCTTGTTTTCCTCTAGTCATTTTATTTAATTAATTTATTTTAATTAATTTTCTTTATTTTCCGAAACACACCCTACAATCTTAAAACGTATTTGTTGAGCTTGTATCATACGGATACAATCTTAAAACGTAGTTTGTCACTTTGGTGAACGAACTTATTTTTTTTGTGTCTTCGGAAAACGTTAAAGAACGAAAATGACTTCTCAAGAAAACGAGATTGGTGTTGGGCAGAATGTTCTGAACGACAATCACTCTGAAAGTGGAGCACCGGTGAACAATGGTTCACAACGCGGTGCATCTACTTTGGCCAACCAAAGGGCTATCCCTATGGTGACCGTGCCAAGCAACTCTGTGGAGAAACCCGAGAAATTCAACGGGTTAAACTTCAAGAGGTGGCAGCAAAAGATGCTATTTTACCTCACTACTCTCGGTCTTGCTAGATTCTTGACCGAAGATGCGCCGGTAGCAACCGGGGGTGAGGTGGATGCGCAATCTTTCAACGCGGTTGAAGCTTGGAAGCATTCTGACTTCCTTTGCCGAAACTACGTGTTGAACGGGCTGCATGATGCTTTGTACGACGTGTATAGCAAATTAGCTACGGCTAAGGAGCTATGGAATGCTTTGGACCACAAATATAAAAGCGAGGATGCCGGCGCAAAGAAATTTGTTGTTGGTCGATTCCTTGACTTTAAAATGGTGGATTCGAAGACGGTCTTGAGTCAAGTTGAGGAGATGCAAATGATCTTCAACGAAATTCGAGATGAAGGAATGACAGTTAGTGAATCTTTCCAAGTGGCGTCAATTATCCATTTATTGCCGCCAGCTTGGAAGGATTTCAAGAACTACCTTAAGCATAAGCGAAAGGAAATGAACTTGGAGCAATTGATCCTTCGTCTGCGGATTGAAGAGGATAACCGGAAGAACGATGGGAAACTCCCAATTGTTCATGGCGCCAAGGCCAACGTGGTGGAGCATGCTAAAGGCTCCAAAAATAAAAATAATGGGAAGAGCAAGCTCGGTCCCAAGGGAGGCGTTTCCAAGACGAAGTTCAATGGAAAATGCTTCAATTGCAATAAAAACGGACACAAGTCCGCGGAATGCAAGGCACCCAAGAAGAAGAGGGACTCTCAAGTCAACTTGGTGCAAGGTGGGCAAAAGGATGAAGACATCATCCTAGCGGCTGTGGTAACGGAAGTCAACCTCGTTGGATCCAATTCCAAGGAGTGGTTTGTGGACACCGGTGCAACCCGGCACATTTGCTCAAACCGGGAGTTATTCACAACTTTTGAGCCATCAAATGGTGAGAAAGTGTGGATGGGTAACTCGGCTCATTCTGCGGTTGAAGGCGTGGGCAAGGTGGTCCTGAAGATGACTTTGGGCAAAGAGCTGACTCTCAACCAAGTGCTGTTTGTTCCGGAAATACGCAAAAACCTTATTTCCGGTTCGTTGTTGAACAATCATGGCTTCCGCATGGTTTTTGAGTCGGACAAATTAGTTTTGTCTAAATCGGGAATGTATGTGGGAAAGGGGTATACATGTGATGGGCTGTTTAAGCTCAATGTAATGACTATTATTAATAATAATAATAAAATCCCCTCTGCTTACTTGCTTGAGTCTCCCAATGTGTGGCATGGTAGACTAGGACATGTTAATTTTAATTCTATACGTAGATTAATTAACATGGAGCACATTCCTAAATTCACAATTGATGTGAAGCACAAATGTGGAGTTTGTGTAGAGGCAAAACTAGCGAAAACGTCTTTCAAATCAGTTGAAAGAAAAACGGAACCACTTGAATTAATTCATAGTGACGTTTGTGATTTTAAATCAATACAAACACGTGGCGGTAATAAATATTTTATTACCTTTATCGATGATAGCACTCGCTATTGCTACGTTTATTTATTAAAAAATAAACACGAAGCAATCGATAAATTCATTCTTTATAAGAATGAAGTGGAAAACCAACTTAATCGACGGATTAAGACGGTTAGGAGTGATCGAGGTGGTGAGTATGAAGCACCAATTGGTGACTTTTGCGCTAGTGTGGGTATAGTACACGAACGTACCGCACCCTATTCACCTCAATCAAACGGTGTTGCCGAACGAAAGAATCGCACATTGAAAGATATGATGAATGCGATGCTAGTAAGTTCGGGCTTGCCACAAAATATGTGGGGCGAAGCAATCTTGACAAGCAATTACCTTTTAAATAAGGTTCCCCGGAAAAAATATGATAATACTCCGTACGAGTTGTGGAAAGGCAGACGGCCTTCCTATCAATATTTAAAAGTGTGGGGGTGTCTTGCTAAGGTGCTTGTACCAACACCTAAGAAAATAAAAATAGGTCCAAAAACGGTGGATTGTATTTTTATTGGATATGCACAAAATAGTAGTGCCTATCGGTTTTTAGTGTACGATTCGAATAATCCGGATGTACATAAAAACACAATAATTGAATCAAGGAATGCTTCATTCTTTGAAGATGTATTTCCATACAAGTCCAACGAAGGGCCTAGCACGTCAAAACGAACATTTGACGTAGCTATGGAAAATACTAGCGAGGGATCCGAAGAAGAACCCGAACCCAGACGTAGCAAACGTGCTAGAATTGAAAAATTCTTCGGACCGGATTTTCTCACCTACCTGGTAGAATTTGAACCGGATATTCTAACATGTATG